TACTTCTTCCTAGGAACTACAGAATTCCTCCTCCTGGCTGTGATGTCCTTTGATCGCTATGTGGCAATCTGTAACCCCTTGCATTATGCCACCATCATGAGCAAAAGGGTCTGTGTGCAGCTGGTGCTGTCCTCCTGGGTGGGAGGTCTCCTTCTCATCATTGTCCCAAGCTGCATCACATTTCAGCAGCCTTTCTGTGGCCCCAATGTCATCAATCACTTTTTCTGTGACAATTTCCCTTTGCTGGAACTAGTATGTGCAGACACAAGCCTGGTGGAACTGATAGGCTTTATGGGGGCTAATGTCAGTTTGCTGGGCACCTTATCTGTCACTGCCTCCTGTTATGGCCACATCCTGTACACCATATTACACATCCCTTCAGCCAAAGAGAGGCAGAAAGCCTTTTCCACTTGTTCCTCCCACATCATTGTGGTATCACTTTTTTATGGCAGCTGTATCTTTATGTATGTCAGGGCAGGTAAGGACAGTGAGGGAGAGAACCTGAACAAGGTTGTGGCCATCCTCAACACTGTGGTGACCCCAATGCTCAACCCTTTCATCTACACCCTGAGGAACAAACAGGTGAAACTGGTGATTAAGGAAAAGGTGGGCAAGTGGATCTCCCAGGCCTGAGCTGGAGTTGCAGAGCAGGGAGAGTTCTCCATAGGAGGCAAAGGCTTTTCTAGTTCCCTGAGAAGACTGTTGTTGGGATCATCTTGGCTATCAACCCAGATATTTTTGGTTTGTTTTCTTCACCAGGACCAGCTGCCAGAGTGAGCTATTCTGAACGCAAAGCCCCCATCCCTTCTTATGCATACCAAACCCCAAAGTTCTCTTGACCTTTTCATCCTCCAGGAACCTAGTGATTTGTTAAATTAATGTAGGTAAGGAGCTAGAGAGCATGGCAAAGCCAACATCACTATTTGTGTCTGGTTCTTCCTGGTGCCCAGTTCCCACATATGCCTACAACCTGAGTGAATACTTTTTCCTCATGATTCATTAAAACTGGATTTGAAACTTTTGAAACTTATGTATATTATCACGAAAAGCACTTTTGTTGTATCTGTCTTAAAAACCTCATCCAAAGTAAGTCAAATTGTTCTTGCCTTCTGTGAGTTTATGATTTAAAATGCACAAAACTGATATAGATTAACATGCAAAGGTCAAATGGACAAAATAAACAAATATTGACCAAATGTTCTATTTAAATAATTTGTCCACATAAATTAGGCTCAAGAGGGAACTACATTTCATGGGGTAGAAGGTTAATTAGGTCAGAATTATACTCTCATTTACAATTAGGAAAATTTTCAGTGGAGAGATTCATTGATTTTTAGGATTGGTATAAATAAATTTAATTAATAATGATTCCCCAAAGTGTTCTAATTCCCAATGATTCCATCTCTTGCCTGTCTGTATTCACTTAAGGTATCCCCCCATACTTGGAACACAGTAATTCCTTCTCTCCTCAAATTCACTGCTTAGAATCTATAACATCCCTCACATCTCAAAGAATGAAATAGGCTATCACTCAGAAAACAAAAATATAAAATCTACAGTTCTAGCACATTCATTCCCACCCTGTGCTTTTGACTCCAGGGTCATGTTTGCACACATTCACAGATATTAGATAGTTCATTTACCAAGGCCATATTTTTTATTCAACATAGGGAAGATGGAGGGAAAAGTTAAGCACTCCTCCACAAAGCCATCCACCTTCAGCCATCACCCAAAGCCTCCTCCTGCTTACCTACTTCTTCAGGTGTGGCTAGGAAACTACTAAATCATACCCTTTTAGATCATGTAAAGGGAATAAAGGCAAAGTATTTCTTTGGGAGCTCAACTCCAAATCACATCCCACACCAGGGGAAACCAGAAAATATTTGCAAAAGGGGCCATCTTCCCCACAAGGTGCCAAGTCTTAGGATCGAGGATCTATCTGGATCACCTCTGCAGCACAAGTGTCCAACAAGATCAATAGGTAAAGGCTAGTCCATCACTTCAGAGAAGCCTGGAAGACCTTTGGCTGTGGCTTCTCACTTCCCATGGCCCACATGGTTGGCAGTTCAGAGTTTGAATATCAAAGTCAGCTGCCATTCAGGTACATGACAATCAGCTAGTACAGCTCCAAGGGCAGGCATTGATCTCCATCACCCTCTTTCGATCTTTGGCAATTAGAAAGTGTAAATCTCATGGGTGAAAGAAGAAAGACACAGGCAGCTTATATTGGATACCAGCATCCAGTCAGTAAGTCAGGCAAAAAGCATTTATTAAGCATCTACTGTATGTCAGACACTGTGCAAGTACTGGAGATAAAAAAAAAAAAGGCAAAAAATGGTCCCTGCTCTCAAGGAGCTTATAGTCTAATGGGAAGTCTAGTAGGCAAACAATTATGTATAAACAAGTTGTATACAGGATAAATAAGAAATAATCAGAGGGCACACTCATAAAAAATCACCATGAAAATATTGATGCACATCTTCCCCAAATCAGCATATCCCACTCTCCTACTCCTCCTACTCAAATCTGGGTTACATTCATCTCCACTATCTTATGATTAAACTTCCAGCCCATTTCAAATTCTTGCTTCCCATTAAGTGTGGGAATGTCAAATATTACACCCATGCTATCAGTCTTTCTTTAATCATCACCATCCCCATGGTCTTAGGAGAGTAGTAATAATTCAAATAAGTGAGAAGACAATATGTAGACCCAGATTACATTCTTATTACTGTGTGTTACCCTTATTCTTCATCTTTTCCTCCATCTATCCAAGTGCATCATTAAAAAAAAACTTAAGTAACAATATTACTTCTGCTCAGCATTATGCTGGTAAATATTTAACAACCAGCTCTCTGGAAAAGAAAAATGTAAAAAAAAAGAAAGAAAAGAAAAATGTACCTCTGACATACTTTTAAATTTAATCTGTTATTAACATTTTCTCTATCACTTTCCAAAATCTAGAGTGATGAAATAATAAATTAAGTCCTGATTAATAGCGTTTGCCGATTTCCAAAGTGTAAATGTTCACAATGAAAATTTAACTATTAGCTTTGTAAGCCAGCACGAGACTGTTCCAGTACACCCCTTAGTTGATCTTCATCTAAATATTTTCTACCACATTTGTCTCCTCCAGGTCCTGAGATTCTTCATATGAGTACTTATATTTCAATATTTTGAGGTTTTGTAGTTCAGTCAGTATACATATGCCCTCCTCCAATATAGATCACAACTTTTACAGCTTAAAAGTCATTCTTCAATATTTGCTGAGGCTGTGAAATTCATCACCCTGGGTTAATTTAGTTGGAAGCTTCTCCACAACTGGCAAAGCTAGTCCTTGGACAACAAACATACATATAGTCTATCACTGACCTCATACTTGAAACAATTCCACCTTGGTGGAACCTACAAGAGTCTGGTAGCATTGTTGAGGGTACAGGACACTTCTGCATCGTAATGAGGCATTCTAGTAGGACTTCAGTGGAAACTTCACACAAGAATATGTTCCTGATATACAATTACATCCAACTCCCCTTTCCTTCCCCTCTTCTATATATCCTATTCCTTTTGGATGTAATTCTTCTCTATCCTCATTCCAGCCATGACTCTCATGATGCCAAATCTCAGAGACACCTAAAAGATTAAATGTTTCTTCTTGCATTATGGTTTCTCATTTATCCCATTGACTCAAATGAACTTGTGATCTCTTTGCTGTCAGCATGCTCTCTATCCAAATAATAATCGCATTTTATCCATTCCCACCCATCTAGTGTAATTCTTGTTGATATTTTCCCATAACTTGAACATAGGAGGTCCCCACCTAACATGCTAGGGGTCTTTGTTGTCCTTGTTTTCTCTTGATGTCATAAGGATATAAATGGCACACACACAGACTGTCCAATGGTTTTCCCTTGTTCTTGTCACATAAGCAACATATCTTTTTTCCATTTAATTTTTTTTTATTCCTCTTCTATTGCTTCTTCTTGTTTGTGAAATGTTGCAACCTGACCACATCCACTATGTCCCTCTCTCTTGCTCTTTTTGTGATCCTCAGTTGCAGTATGTGGCATGTAGTAAACTCTTTAAAAAAGGCTTTTTCATTCATTCATTCATTCCTCAATTTTAATTCTTCAGAGACTGTAGTGTACCATGACTCATAGCCATACAACAACAATTGCATTATATTGGTATTAAAAAAGATGGGCTGTTGTTTTAGAGAGAAGCTTGGGGACACTAAAAGAACTTAGCAAAAGACTCTCCAGCCTACTTGTCTTCTCCTCTCTTGGTCCAAATAATCATCCCTTTACAGTGCTTTTCTAAGATAAACACACACACATACATAAAAAATCTATGGTACTGCTTTGCCTCATACTCTGCTTAATAGGCATCTTTTATCCTCTTGATTTTTCCCATGTGGATAATTAGAACAAGCTCTTTTGAGTTATTATAGACACCATCTAGGAAGGTAGGCAATGTTCTAGGACCTCATGTAAATTCACATGACAGAATATTTGTAAAGCACTTAGCACAGTGCCTGGCACAGAGTAGAAGCTATGTAAATACTTATCTCCTGCCTTTCTCTTCCTTTTTCTTCCTTTCCTTTCCCTTCCCTTCCCTTCCCTTCCTCAAATAGCACAATCTCATCTACAAAAATGGAGCATCTGGAAGATGTCACTATCTATACAAAATCCTTCTTTGACTTGGAATCTGTACTGGATCTCCTCATTGACAATGGCAAACACTTTTGGCAAGGGAAGGGAAGAAAATAAATATTTATATAGTGCCTATTATATTTATATAAGCTTTTATATGGTGCCTACTGTGTGCCAGGCACCATGCTAAGTGCTTTATAAATATTATGCCATTTGATTTTCTCCCTATTTTATGCCTCAGCAAACAGATATTAATGATCAGAGTTTCAGCATTGATGAACATTAATATTTAACAATTACATAAATAAGCAAATTTTATTATATTAATTTATAATATAACATTGTAAATTAATTATATATTGTGATTGTTAATTATAAATATTATAAGTTAATATAATATATTATAAATTATATAAACAAGTAATAATAATTGCTATCATTCATATAGCATTTTAAGACTTGAGAAGTGCTTTACATATATTATCTCATTAGATCCTCACAACAACTCTGTGAGGTAGGTGCTATTATCATCCCCGTTTTACAGATGAGGAAACCAAGGCTGAGAGAGGTCAGTTATGAAGATGATGTTCATCAAACAAGGTTATTTCTGTTGTATGTTTTTCAAGGAATTTTATATCTTTTTGATACATACCTCAAGGAGACCTTGTTGGAGAAAAGCATTTTAAATGGCATTTTGTTCACTGAATCAAATGCTTCTTAAATAGTCAACAAAGTAGGTATTGTCTACATCTTTTCATTAATTGTTTCTTGATAAAGATGTAACTTGTTGTGGAATGTCACTTCTGAAAGCCTGTCTATTTCCATCTAATACCTTACTAAGCATGCCCTTCACACGTGTGCTGATTGTCCTTATAAAAGTTTTATATAGAGGAGAGAGTAGACATACAGATTATAATTACTAAGCTTCCCTCAATTGCCTCTTTCCGAGTAATAATTGGGGCTGAAATTTTCTTCTCACCT